ATAGTCCGCGCGAACCCAGAGTTCGGGGAAGTCACATGCCTGATGGAGTGGGGCAAAGGTCTCGACAGGATCGTTGATGTGATCGAGACCCACCTTGCCTCCGCTCCCCCGGAAGGGGTAGAGCTTGTGGTTTCATGGGCCGGCAACGATGTGTACGGTAACTACGGTTACCTTGGCTACACTTGGCACTTGACGAGCCAGTGGGTCAAAAGGCCGCAGCGCGAGCTGGACGAGATCGAGCATTGGCCCGCGAAGCAGCGGCTGATGGTCGAGAAGAGCGTCCGTCGCCTTATCGAGCTGCGGAAGCACACTCGTGTCAGAGGCCTGACGGTTCTCTTGGGAGATGACAACGGCCGCTTTTACAACCTGCCCAACGAGTATGATGAAGAAATGGGCAAGTACGCCCGGCAGATGCAGAGTGAAGGCGTTTGCGTCGTTGATCCATCCAGCCTCCTGATGAGGACCACGCGTCCCGACGGGTTCCACATCGAGGTCACAGACCCGAATGTGACTGCTTCATTGCAGTGGTGGCATGCGCTCATCAGAGCCATTTCCACCGACCGAATCATCACTCGCCGGAAGGCTGAGTTCGTTGCCAATCAGAGAAGTATTGTGTTTCGCAATCACTTCGAGCTTGGGAAGGCCGAGAAGACGCTCACGGTGCCGCCTGCAAGTCAGCGCATCCTCGAGCCGTTGGACCGTGCACCTGAGCTCCCGGCGGAAGCCAGGGAAGAGGATGAGCAGATCGTTCTCGACCACCCTCTTCTGATGATGATGCCTGAGCCGGTGGATGATCTTGAACTCAAGCCGGAAGGCTCTGAAGAGGTGACACAGGTTGAACATGTACTGTTTAGCCGTGATGTTGGGTCAGAGCTGCCTCTCGACCTTGTCGCCGTCGACCCTGAGGCGCAAGAGGACTTTGCCTTTATGGTTGCACGAGATGTCATCAATACCACCAATGTGCTTATCCCAGATGACGATGCCATCGAGAGGGAAGTCAATGACGGCATCCCCACGGTGTGGGACGAACCCCCAGAGGTTCCGGCATCGGAAGATGACCGCAGTCTTCCCAAAGGCACAGTCGGGTACTCGCAGGCACTTCGCCGAATCGGGTCGACGCCCAAGTCGAAGCCCGATCCTGCCAAGCACAGGAGAATCTCGGAGCCAGCCGAGACTGACGATGAAGAAGATGTCGTGATGGACCTGGATCCTGACGACACCGCTCAGCCGTCGGAAGACGCTGCTGGTGATTTCGAGCCATTCTTCGAATGGTGGGGCTATGAGGACATCCCCGATTTTGCCCCAAGCCATCGCTACATGACGGATGGCAAGCGGCGAGCATTGAGCAGTGCCATGAGCTTTTTCCTTCGTGGCTTCGCGAATAGTGCAGAGTCACAGGCACAACGGCGGCCACCGCCCATGATGACCTTCGACCCCGCAACGCGGGAGGTCGAATGGGATCACTTCAAAGAGCAATTGGGCAAACAGTGGCGCGGTCTCCGGTCGGAAGACGTCATGGAAGTCGTGAAGTATGGTAACCGCGACAAAGATGACAGTGGACGCTTTGAGTTGCGCGTCCTCCACTTCGTCGACCACACTGAGATCCATGGAATCCGTGCATTCCAGGGGCACTGCCGCGATCTCATCTCTGACGAGACTGATCTTGTGGATATGCACAGTGACAGCTATGCTTTGTGTGACGGCTACCGGCCCACCATGCACACGCGTCCTCCTGTAGGAGTCACTGGCCACATCCACAACGACTGGGTCAGAATGCATCCGATCGGGTACCATGCAACGTATTGGAGCAATTTTTCCAATATTGTTAGCACCGGTCTCATCCCAGGCGGTGTCACCCTCGGCGGAAGCACGGGGAGAGCCTTCACCATGATGGCTTGCCTCCCTCAGTGGGAAAGGCCGAACAACGCCGGCCTGCGACCTGGCGCTGAGGTTGAATTCGCTATCGACCTCCAACTCGCGTGCCTGGAAGGGTGTCGCATTCTCCTGACAAAGAACAATGTTCTGCAGACCCCAGATTGGTTGTCCAATCGCTACCTTATGTTTGCTTACGATCGCAGAACCGGGAAACCTGTATGGTTTAACCGCTCGTACGAGCTCACGCGAGCTCGGGTGTCCAAAGCCCGTGATGCATATGTCAAGCGTCAGGAGATCCTGCCGGTCTTCAACCAAGACCTCATCGAACGCGCAGCGGAAGCTGACGCTAATTGCATCATGGATTACGTTGATCTCTGTTACCCGATCCACAATGAAAATTTGGACTGGGTTGAGTTCTTGGGTATGTTCATGGACATGGAGAAGCCCTCGCACTTGCGTGAGGTTGAGCAGTTTCATGTCGATGGTCGTACCATCTGCTTTGAGCAGGGTAGTCCGCTGGAGGGAACTCCGTGCGAATGGACCTTGGATGCCCAGGTCTACTTTTCGCCAATCGGGCTGACCACCGAGCGCCCGTCGCGTGTGGAGCGCAAGCACTACTCAGTGTGCCTCAACGTCAGCTTCCCAAAGCTGCGTTGCCCTGATGATAGGTGCAGGTCTCAGATGCTGGACGGCTATCTTCATTGCCCCCGCTGCCAGCGGAAGTTGTTCAACCCGAGCGACATCTCCCACATTGCGGAGCTGGCTGATCTGCGGGCGGAAGCCGTGCAAGGTGGAGCTAATCACAGCCTCCACTATTTGGCACCGAAGGCCGCCATCAACACGCGCCCACACGAGCACACACGTCAGGGTGCCGATGTGAAGAAGAGCATCGCCGCGACACTTAAGGAAAAGTGCAAGAAAATGGTGGCGAAAGCGGCAGAGGGAGCGCATGGCTCCTTGCGCCAGAACTTGAAGTACGAACCCTTCAGCGCATTCAATGTGTTTTCCAAGGGGATGACGGTGACTTCACTCGACGAGATCGAGATGTTCTCGCGCTTGCGACTTCCCGCCCCAGGAATGGGGACGGAGGCAAAGAGAGGCTTTGCAGGATCTCACACATCCGATGCACGCACTGCCCTCATTTTCCCTCCTGTCGACGATGTGATTCGCGGGGAGTACAACTATCAGAGGAACATTTTTCTTGAGCTGGCCAGCCACTGCTACTTTTGTTTCCAGGATCGTTTTTACCTGGTCCCCGAGATTGCAGTGTTGATCCGAGCCACTCAGATTGCCTCTGAGGTACGCCGTGTGCGTCCTTTCACCATCCTCCGCCATGACGGCGTCGAGTACCAGACCGTGACCGGTACTGTTCCAGAGATCATGGCCGACCTAGTCGGTATGCTCCGCAACAACGCACAGTATGCTCTCACACAGAAAGAGCGCAATCAGCAAAGGGTGACTGTGCAGGTTGGAATCGGACAGACTCCGTTGCAAATCCCAGCGTCCCTGGGGACAATGGGCAGGTCACAGATGCTCGAGCTTCTTGGCGGTACGCGGTTCAGTGTTGAGCGTACCCGCGGCTGGATTAATCGCGAGGTGGAAGACCGAATGGTCCAACATGGTGCCACTCCCATTGGCGCCATGCGTGTGCCGCCTCCACCGCCGTCACCATCCGGAAGGACTGGTCCTGACTCGTCGCTGCCCGCAGCAACACCCAGTGTTCGGCCTCCACCGGCTCCTCCGAGCCGAGGTCGCTCACCTGGCGGTGCAGCTTCGTCATCTACGGATCGTCCAGCGAGCACTTCTGTTCCGAAAGCTGCAAAGACGAAGGCAAGGCCGGCATCTGCCCGAAGCATTACGCCGCCTCCTCCTAAGCCCAGTGCTAACAGGCCAGTGCAGCCGCCGCACCCACCAGCTGCAAAAGCTGTTCCGAAGGCTGACGCCGTTCGTGCACCTGAGGAATACATCACTGCTGATGAGTGGGACGATTATTTTGCCGGTCGTGGCGAGGTTAGAGGTTTTGCTGTAGGTGATGCACCTGCACCAATTGCCGCCCCTGCGGGGTCACCCACTGATGAACCATCTGCCTCAGCCGCCGGAGGGCGTGCTCGCACTCGCTCACCGCGCCGCCATGACTATGGTGGTGGCCGAGACTTTCAAGAGGCCGCGAACGACAGGTTGCGTCACCTGCGCCTGTGTGATGAGGCTTGAGCAGCAACTCGAGAACCTGACGGTCACTCTCCCAGGCTTCCCAGCTGATCGCCTAAGGGAATGGATTGACCAAGACGGGAACGGATTCGATCCATCCCGACCAATGCCTCGCAATTGCACTCGCACAGATGCTTGGTATTGGGGAGTCCTCCGTGCCCGTTACCTTGAGGAGCTGTCGCCCACTGATGTGCCTTTTGTCATTCCCGCTTACACCGACCGGGAGGTTTTGGTTCAACATCCTGTTGAGCAAATCGCCTGGTTCCTGCGCGGATGGGAGGAGTATCGCCAGGACTCCAATGGAGCATGGTACAGGGCATACTAGCCTATTGCATCCGACACCGGAAGGTGCTCCGCGTCTTGAGGGCACCGTGTCAGGAGATGCATGAGTCGCACGCAACAGCGACTTGCATTTTGATCCGTTTTTCTGCAGCTCACCGCACTGACGTGCTGGTTCAATCACACCAGCCTCCGCATCGGCACGCCCGTGCATCACCGCCCTGACGGGTTGGTTTGCTGACCCGCTCAGTGGAGTGATTTGAGTTTGCATTTCAAGATCTTTTGCTAGCCTCGCAAAGCGAGTGCTGCCTCAGAGTAGCGTAGAGTAGTAATACGCCTCCTCCGCTGCGCTTCAATGCGCGGGGGGTGTTTTTATTCTCTTTGTATGCTAGTCATCATGTCTTACCTACGCTACCTCGTGGCTCAAGTACAAAAAGGATTCGTGCGTCCCGCTGTTAACAATAAACTCCCATACTGTCGTGGCAGTCTTACGGACGTCATCACAGCTTCCTCTGCCTGCATGTTTGAATGTCTCTCAAGGCAGTTTGACCACTTTGCCCTAAACCCTAAACCCCTAAACCTAAACCCTAAACCCGACCCCTACATGGCCGCTGATAGTAAAACTTGTGCTGCTCCAGGTTGGCATGGAGAAGAACTGCAACATGGCAGTGCAGGCAGCTTTCTTCCGCCAGGGAAGCGCGAATCTTCGGCTTCAGCCGTCTAGGTGTACCTTTAAAGGTGCTTTGAAGGTGGAATGTGGTGGTTCAAAGCAGGAGGGCATGAGGTGACTACTGCGACATTGCATATTCTCGACTGTCTGCGTAAGCATATAGCTCCTGCAAGCTAGCAGATGCAGACTCACTAATCTAGGATCCGGAACCTAAGCTAGTAAAATGATAGGGTCTCGAGATTCCTTGCTAACCTCATAGACACTCACTGGAAGTATGTTTGTTGATGTTTCAGACTCCTCTGGTGTTACGAGGACCTGTGAGTTCGAGACTCCTAGCGTTCGGCTTCGTGGAGCAAAGCAGAAGCGCGTTTTGCCGCTCAAGATTTGGGAGTTTCCGAAACTTAGGGGTACATTATTTTAGGGGCCTTATAGTAAGGATCCTACAATTTAGGGTACTATATTAGGGTCCCCTATTTTCGGAAACTCCCATATGTCCGATGTGAAGCAGGAATGCTAAGTGATACATGACTGTAGTCTGTTCTCCTGTACACCACAGAGTGTGGGCTTGCTGCTATGTTTAGCCGATGTCGTCCAAGCACGGTAGAAGAATGCACAAGAGTGCTCGAAGCGCAAGAACAAAGTCGAAGGGCCAACAGCGCAAAGCACCAGCTTCTTTCACGTCTAGTCTGTGATTGGTCCAATTAACTGACACCTTCAACCCTACTTCTGTAGATCCTGATACAAAACCTTATGTACATTTAGAAGGAAATGAATTGAATGTATATATATATATATACATATATGTATATTGATATACAGAACATGTATGTGCATATTGAGCCCTTACTGCAAACCGTAAAACAAGCAAAAGCATTTGACGCAGGTACTATATTTACATAACTTCACTGTAATATCAGTAATATCCCCAAACTCCAAACTATAAACCCGATCGACTTTTCAGCCCTTACACAGGCCTTCCGACGACGGGGCGAGACTGAGGCAAGAGAGCTTTTCGTTTAGGGCTTGGGATTTATCACTCTACTCTGTTGAGTCTCGCTAGAGTCAGAACTTGGGCGGGTTGTGCATTGTTTTTGTGTGGAGTTTCACGTAAGGGCTTAGGTTTTGCGAGGGCTGCTGAAGTTCAGATTTTTTGTGGATTGGTTTACAGTGAGGTCTTTTGTTTCTGTGGGGCAGGCGATCTCATAGGCCTCTCGGTGTTCCGATTTGCATTGAGGGCTGGGCAGCTTGTTGGTTAAGGGCTCGCTCCGCGGCTTGGAGTTTGATCTCACAAGCAAAACCCTAAACCCTAAACCCTAAGCACCGCATTCACTGTTGCTCTGTTGCCATGAGTTTAGACTAACGTCATAGCAGCTTGGTCATGAACTATGGAGCAGACCTCCATCTCAATAAGTTCGAAGCTAGAGCGCCCAAAACACATATATCAGTGCTTTGGGCTGCATGGTCGCGTACATGAGCATCTGTGAAGTTAGCAGACTAATATGGCTTATCTGACCGACTGATGCCCCTGATCATAGAAGTGGAGAAACAGTGGTGAATCCTTGGTTGTTTTGACTCCGAAAGACTACTCTCGAAACCGTTAATCCCTTTAACCCTAAACCTTCTCTCCCAATCCGGGTCAAAGTCTCGAACCCCAAACTGCTCGGTGTTTGTCCCAGGAGCAACGAAAGCGCTACGACTGGCTTCCCTGGGAGGCTGCACAGGGCGCTAGAAATTGGAGTCGGGCTTTCGGTACGATATGATAATTCAAGTCATATTATTAGGGACAGGATACTGGCCTTTATATCGCGGGAACGCTACTGCTTGTGCTCAGAGACTAGCAGGGGTCGAGGGTTTGGAGTGTTTCTTTTCGGTTTTCGGTTTGGGGAGATGTTTTGGGTCCTGAGCTTGAGGATTGAGGTAATTTCAGGGCTGAGCAGGGAAAATAGCGAGAATGCAGTCGAAGTTTCTGAACAGCACCGGAGCTTAGGGCTTGGGGTTTAAAATTTGGATAGGCTGGCCATGTGATGCGGTCACAGATTTAGGGGTTTGAGGTTTAGTGGCTTTGAACCTATAAGCCTTAAAGCGTCCTCCTAATGCTTCCGAGTCCGTCTCAGGAGTCGTTCGTGTTCGAAAGCTTCGGGCCCGACTAGACCCTGCTAAACTCTACCAGTGGCCCAAAACCTGGCCTTTCTGAACTTATACATATATATATATATATGAAAAGTTACCATGCGTAAGAAGGAGCCCTAAAAAGGTAGGTTCTTTATCGGCTACAGTGCGGCTACAGGTCAGCCACAGCCGTCTAAACCGCACATCCGAAGCCCTGAACTCACAGCCCCAAACTACCTAGAGGCTCCATAGTAGTTCCTTTTTGGGGTTAGTATTTAGAATCCTATAAGGTAATCCCAAAAAGGAACTACTTTGGAGCCTTTGGGTAATGCCCACCAAACTCAAACCCTGAACCGCACCTAACTCCAAGCCCCAAGCCCGACACAGTAACTTGCCAGGGTCTTCACAATATAAGCCCTAAGCCGAAGTCCTTAAATCCCAGAAGTGAAACCCTAAAGCCACGTGAGCCCTAAACTTAAACCCTCTATCCCAAATGCTCGAAGGTGCGCGGAGCATGTGATGACCTGAAGGGTCCGGTCTACAACTTCGACCAGCCAGGCCTCAGTGTGTAGGGGTTCGGCGTTTGGGGCCTTTACGGGCTTTGAGTTCAGTGATTTTGCCAGGAGCTACCGAGGTTGGGGCTTGGGGTTGTTGGGGTTCAGGTGTGAGTGTGGGGTTTGGCGTCTTGGGCAGGTGTATATCGTTGCCTGATCGTTACCATCTTATGACACCTCCTTCTTTTCTTTGAAGGCCATCATCCAATTTCTGGGAATTCTTCAAGGATTCATCATCTCGACTCGTCCTTGCAAGATTCCTACAAGATGCACAGAGCTGTGTCACGAAAACATGCTTATAGTTGCATCAGACATTCTGATACACCACCCCTCGCCCCCCCGCCCCCCCCCGCGAAAACCGACAGTGCCATAGTGCTCGATTCTTCAAAAGGCCTAATTAGGACCTTCCTGTACGTCTCTGTCTGACCGACGTCGCGAGAGGTCAGAACACGACGCAGATCGTGTTAAGCTCCTCCCCCACTCCTGAAATGCCACCAAGAACCCTAAACCTTTAAACCCTAAACCCCCAAACCCTGTAAACCCTAAACCGGTCGCCGCTCCAGGGGCTGGATCCATTACTTGCCCTGCATGCCTAGGGTACTAGTTTAGGGTTTAGGGCTTCTGCAACAGCCAACTTTTGCACTCTGTTGTGGCTCCTGCCATCCAGTAAAGTTTCCTTGGCTAATGTAGGAACCTGATTGAGATAACTCCAAAACAGTAGGATTCACATAAGGAACCCTAATAAAGGCCCATGGTTTCTTAAGCAGGTTCCGACATTATTGAGGGAAGCTAGCTTGAAAGTCGCCTCTCTCGGAATACTTGTGGCTTGCAGTCGTGATCGCAGCAGGACCCTGCACCTTAAACAGAGAGGTCTGAACAGCTATTACTGTTAATATCTCATTTATGCTCCAACGTAGCTATACCATGACAGACCAAGCTGCTCATATAGATTGTGTTTCCGGACCCCGATAGCCAGGACATGCCTTCGATACCTTCTCGTTGGGTGTCGGGTTCCTGGACACGGGCAGAAGTGCTTCCACAGGCTTCAAGACTTCCTCTATCTCGAAATCCTCAACCCTTAACCCTAATCTTTCGTCAGCTTAGATAGGCAGGCGGAAAAAGGTGCTGAACAAAAACCCAAACCGATTGAAGCTTCAAGGCAGCTCGAGCTCGGGGATGGCTCACCAATTCCCAAACGTAGAAACCCCTAAACCCTAAACCCTAAATCCTAAACCCTAAACCCTAAATCCTAAACCCTAAACCCTAGTAGGCTTGAAACAAAGAAAATTTGAAGTCCCGCGGTGCAGACCCGGCCCGCCCGATGCCTGTAATATCCCAGATTCACGGCCTCCGACAGTGCTGAGCTAATACTGTATGTATGCTTCATTTACATAAGCGTTCGGGTTTCAGGTGAGGTTGAGATTGTTCCTATCCTATACCGTAACCCTGAATACCCTACCTTTTTGCTGGTGATTGAAAGATCACCTGTGATGCCCAGTCCATTTAGTGACGTGAATCGGGCGTCGATCCTACGAGAGAGAAGGATGTTCCGTAATGGCATTGCTTCGCTTGTTGTGTGCACAGAAGCCAACGGCGACTCTCGAATGGCTCAAGATGAAAACAGGGCCCGGTGCCGAGGCGAGGCCGTTGCGGCCGTTCTTAGGCGGGGCTTCTCTTTGGGGCTTTCTTGAGGAGGGTTGGGTTTCTAGGCTCAGGCCTGGCGGATCCCCTTCTTTGACCCCTGCTACTTGCTCCTCTCCCCTTCCCTTTCGTTCAGGGGCTTTGGAGCTTGACTTTGCGTTTCTTCGTGCTTGTTTGAGTGATCTTTACTTGTAACTACGAGTTCTGTTGATTTGTTGAAAAGATTTCACTACTTAGGCGACGTCGTTACCAAGCCATGGCCCTCCCTGCTAACTCCGAGGATCCTGTAAGGGATCAGCAGGTTATGATTGCCCAAGCTACAGGGCCTGGCGTGCTGGAAGGTGAGGAGCGAGGACCTGATTATGGGCGGGAACAGCCGCTCATGAATGGGGTCGATCGTCCGGACCCTTCTCCGGCAAGCATTGAGTCTTTGCCATGGGGTTCACCTGTGGCCACAGAGCCGGCGGCTTCGCGAACTCTTTCTGCTGAGATGAATCTGCCAGTAGCGAGACCAACGGCAGCGGCAACCGAGTTTTTGGGTGTGCCGCCGCATGGACGAGCTGCGACGGCTACAAGCTCTTCTGGACAGGAGTGGCCAGCAGCGCTCAGGTGGATGGGCCGTTTGAACGAGTTTTTCCATAGGGCAGCTGGCTCAATGGAAACCATCACGGCTCATAGCAGTACTCAGCAACTGAGTGGGACTGGAGACGGAGGCCTACTACTACAGCAACATGTTTATAGGGCGCAGCAATCGCTGTCACCGCAACGTGGAAGGCAGCAGCGGGAGTTGCCCCTCGGAGAGCAACCTCCCGATCCACCTTTGTTTGGAAGAGAAGCGCAGAGGGCAATGCAAGAGTGGCCTCTTCAAGCTCCTCTTCTACATGGATCACCTCAGTTGCCTTCAGCTGGAACTGAAGGTTCGGATCGGGCCTCATCTACCTCGATACCACGAGAGCTTGTGCAGGAAGAAGTGAGAAGACAGGTTGTGGAAGCTATGCGAGCCCAAAACGAGCAATTGGAAAGGTTGCGTGCGGAAAATGAAGCTTTGAGGTCTATGCAGATGTTGCCTCCTGGCTTACCTCCGCCGCGCATTCGAATTCCACATCAGACGACGCAGGATGACCTGGAGTTCCATGGAGTACCTCAGGGAGATCGGGCTTTGGGGCAACACAACGTACCTCAAGGAGATCGGGCTCTGGGGCAGCATGAAGTACCTCAAGGAGATCGGGCTTTGGGGCAACACAACGTACCTCAAGGAGATCGGGCTCTGGGGCAGCATGATGTACCTCAGGGAGATCGGGCTTTGGGGCAGCATGATGTACCTCAGGGAGATCGGGCTTTGGGGCAGCATAACGTACCTCAGGGAGATCGGGCTCTGGGGCAGCATAACGTACCTCAAGGAGATCGGGCTTTGGAGTACAATGATGTACCTCGGGGAGATCGGGCTCTGGGGTATCAAGATCTACCTCAACGTGAAACAGCTGAGGCGACTGGATCCTTAGGTGGTCGCTCGGGCGGTGTTCGCTTTGAGGACAATGCAGATCGAAGCCATCCGTTTGGGGGGCTGCTACAGGGAGATGCGAATCGGGCCTCTGCGTGGGCTGTCCCGCCCATTATGCCATCACCACCAGGGACAACGCGCGGAGACTATGGACCAAGGTCTACCAGGGCTCGCAGCTCGAGCCGTGAGCGAAGGCCCCAGGATGCTCCAAAGGCGGGTCCGCCGCCTCCTCCACCACCGATGCCTACTCCACCACCTACTACGCCGTTAGAAGCATTGGTTGCGGGCATGACGCAGATACAACAGGTGCTTTTGAAAGGACGTGGAGCGAATGAGGGCTCAGAGTATGATCCTTCCAAGGCGGTGGCGGAGTTCCCAAAGTTGGCAGACAACAGCCCCGAGAGCGGCGCCATCGACTTCCAGGACTGGCTTTATCTCGTTGAACAGCAAGTTGGGAGTTTGGCCTCGGGGGCTTCGCTTTGGTGGGCTGGTATGTTGGAAGCCGCAATGAAGGCGTACGGTCGGTACCAGTCGGCCACTCCCATTCAGAGGCTCACCATTGTCTCTGAGTTGGATCCTGAGTGGGAGGACCCAAAGTTCTCCAAGCTCGAGAAGCGCGTTGCTGCGCTCTTGGTGGGCGCGCTCCCGCAGGCCATGAAGGAAGAGATGGTGGCTTATAGGGTGAGGAGGGTCCATCAGCAGCTCTATAGACTCCTCATCAACTACCAGCCGGGTGGAAGCTCAGATAGAGCTTTGGTCCTCTCTCAGCTCGATGCCAAGGAGAGCTCCGCGGAACCTTTGGAAGTGGTGGCAGCTTTGAGAAAGTGGTTTCGGTGGTTGCAACGAGCTCAGGACTTGCAACTGGCTTTGCCGGACCCTTCGATCCAGATTAGGTCTTTGTCTACGATCACGAAGAAGCTGGCGGATAAGAACGCCGACCTTCAGTTCAAGATTGCGCTGGCAAAGACGGAGTTGCGGGTCGAGAGCCGTCCCACCCAGGATACGGCATTGCGGTTCTTTCAACACTTGCTGGCCGAGGTGGAACAACTAGGGCCAGGGAAGCCGCAGCGGTCAACTGTGCCATCGACCTCTACTACATCAACGCCGACTTTGGATCCAAAGGTCAAGGGAGCCCAGGTTGCACCGAAGAGCCAGCCTACGTCTCCAAAGGAGGGCAAGGGCGATGGAAAGGGCAATGTGTGCAAATGGTTCATTTCGGACCAAGGATGTGGCCGAGGTCGTGCGTGCCGCTTCCTCCATGACTGGACTCAGGTTGTGAAGGCTGAGAGATGTCTGGTTTGTGGTTCCAAGTTGCACAAGGTGAAGGACTGCCCAAGAAAGGACAGCGAGCCAAGCGGTGAAGGTCCATCAGTGAAGGGTCTCAATAAAAAGGAGCTGAGGGTTGCCCTCGCGACACCTGTGCCCCCATCCTCGTCATCTACCTCTACCACAGGCCCTACTCTCCAGCAGGCCACCGTGAATGTGGACGCTATGACTCCGGCGGCAAAGGCTGCAGCCGATCCTCCTTTACCTCCTCCTTCAGGCGATGCTCTACGTGAAGTTTTGGCCGAGACGAACCGAGTCCTGAAGGCTTTGGCGCCTCAAGCGGAGGCGGGAACCTCTTCAACATCCTCGGCGACTGGAGCACTTCAAGATCCTCTTCGGCTTTTACAAGCACATCTTGGTTCGCTGAGGCGACTACAGAGGGTGTCAGCGCTAGAGCCGGAAGATCGAGTTGCCCTGCTGGATTCGGGTGCGAGCCACGCCTACAGGGGAGCCCACGACGAGGAGGAGAAGCTCAAGGCCACTCCGGTCAATGTGAAATTGGCCCAGGGAGAGGTCACTCTGCTGCAGAACAAGGCTGGAACGCTGATTGGGGAAAGCGCTACCGATACTTTGGTCCCGTTGGGACAGTTGGTCGAGGTGCTCAATTGCAAGGTGCACTGGCAAAAGGGGCGCCTAACAGTTACTCACCCAGTGCATGGCCGTTTGCGTGTTCGAGTTCGTGACTACTGCCCGGAGCTCGCTGAGCACGAGGCCCTTCGGCTTATAGCTGAGCTGGAGCAAAGGCGCTTAGATGATATGAACGAAGCGGTGAAGGCATTGGAGATGAAGGTGACGGAGTGCGAGCACCGATTGGAGTGGTTTGATCACCTTCGGAGCTATGTGGACTCTGGTTCTAGAGTGGACCTCCTCGCGGCGGTGGCTACAGCTCCTTTCTTCAGCGATTTCCCGGTGGATTTCAAGGCAACGGCAGCAGAAGAGATCCCAGTGAAAGACAAGGATGGATGGCTGCTGCTTAAGTCTATGCCCTGGTCGAGAAGGAGAAGGCGAACCCTTTACCAAAGCCACGACTGGAACCTTCATTTGTTCTCAGGTCTCTCCGGAAAGAACTGTGGAAGCGCTACAACCACAAAGCTCGCGTCAGTTGAAGCTACAGGCCCGAGGGTGGACGTCGACCTCCGCAACTCCAATCTCATGGATATCACGAGAGCCAACGGAATCTACAAGGTGTTGCTATGGGCGGCATCCACGGGAAGATTGAGGACCATCATCGGCGGCCCTCCTCGGCGTTCCTACTTAGCCGCGGAGTCTGATAGACGGGCCAAGGAGGAGCAGCTCATTGCGAAGATGCTTGTGATAGCAATGGTTGCTAGTGAGGGCAGGAAGAAGGCTCGAAATGAGAGGGTTGGCTTTGCTTTGGAGTACCCCGACACTACCCCTGGTGATTGTCTTTGGTCAACGGACATGTGGCGGCAGTTTGCTGAGGCCTACCGGTTGGATGTGATTAAGAGCAGCCGGGGATCTACGGGGACCAATCTAGACCTCCAAGGGGCCCAAGCACTCACGGCAACAACGACTTCGTCGGGGACATGGACTGACGGATATATTAACTTGATGTCGAGGGCAGTGAGCTCCTGGAACGGATTTCCCCTGGGGGACTCAGTCCTTTGCTACATGCTCCCAGGCGAGAACGTGGTGAGGATTGGCCGAATGACAGCTAAAGAGTGGCAGCTACATGTGCAACGAGACCATTTACCATTTAGGAGGGACTGCCGTCACTGCATACAGTCATCCTCTGGCAAACCTCATCGGCGAGTGACTCATCGTTCTGCATATGTACTATCTGCAGATGTTGCGGGGCCATTTAGGTCCAAAGGGATGTCAACGGAGACCAACCAGCACCGGTTTATGCTTGTATGCGCTTACCAATTTCCCCGATTGGCTGGAACCCCGGAGGTTCAAACGGAGCCAACTGATGATGGGAGTGGGCTGGGTGATTTTTTCCAGGAGGAGGGCGAAACCCTTGAAAAGGAGCGTGAGTTGCCTAGAGATGTGGAGGAACTGGCGAAGGAGTGGTCCTTTTCCGAGGCAGAGAACGACGAGAAGGATCCAGAACCTCCCCGTGCAGCGGTTGACGCGCCAGAACCTCTCTGTGCAGCGGTTGACGCGCCAGGACGTTCCTGTGCAGCGATTGACGCGCCGGGAGAGGAAGATGCGAAGGGCCCGGAGAAGGACACGCAAGACTCCAAGGAGGAGATTGAGGCCAGCAACGCGAGCGAGCCCTTCGATTTCTCGATGGCCTACTTCGTGCGCCCCTTGCGATCGAGAAAGTCTGGTGACGTCCTACGCGCCCTACAAGAAGTTTATATCGACTTGAAAATGTTGGGGCTTCCAGTGAACCGCTTGCATGCTGATCGCGCTCGAGAGTTTCGGACCTCAGCTGTTGGGGCCTGGGCGGCATCGAGGGACATCCAGATGACCCGTACCGAAGGAGACGCTCCGGCTCAAAACGGGGCTGCAGAGCAAGCGGTTAAATATATCAAGGCCAGAACCCGGATCCTTTTGTCATCAGCGCAAGAACATAGTGGGAGGACGGCCAAGGAAGTGAAAGCCTGGTGGCCTATGGCAGCGGAGACTGCTGCGGCCCGTCAAAGAGCTTTGGCGTTTGGACAAGAGATTTCCCCGCCGTCGGGCTTTGGCAACAAGGTGTTTGTGAAGCGGAAGCGCTACGGAGTGAAAGACGCCAGGGATTTAGATCCCAAGTGGGGACCTGCCGTTTATCTGGGTCCGGCTCGAGATGTACCTGGAGGTCATGTGGTGCTTACCGAAGACAATCATTTGTGGAACACGTGTAATGTTCGTCAACTTCCAGATGTTCCAATGGAACCAGACCCGTCGGCTATTGTGGCAAGGAGACGCATCCTCGGGAAGCGACCGCCGTCAGCTCCTATCCCTTTGAAGGCTATGAGAGCAACTTCCTCAACAGATGTGGCCAAGACCAGCGATGACTCCTATCAGGCCGAGTTCTACAGAATAGAAGATGTTAAGTCGTCGGCGAAGTTGGAGTATTTGCTTGATAAGGATAAGATGAAAACGCTGGCCCAGATCTCCTACGAGAAGGAATGGTTCTCCTTGGAAGACTGCTTTGCGATCCTAGAGGACGTTCCCTTCAAGAAGCCGAATAAGTCACGCTACGTGGAAGCATGGGGAGATCCGGGGCCGGATGTCTACACGGCGTTCGGAGTCTACCAACATGGAAGTTTCGTGGGCGTCACCAATGCCACTCGTGAGTATGAGCACCTTGTGAGGTACCTAGTGAAGTTCTTGAAGAAACACGCAGGGAACTCCGATCCCATTACCAGCATCGTTGTGGCCCGCAATCTAGAGACCGGCCTCCATAAAGACCGCTATAACATAGAGGGAAAGAAGAATGTGGTCGTGTCCTGTGGTGCGTTCGATGATGGAGGGTTGTGGGTAGAAGGAGTTCATGAAGGTTTTCCTCAGATGACGCAGACCCTCCGAGATGGAAGTGAAGTTTTGGGTTCTATCATCCCGGCCCACAATGGCGTTGTCAAGTTTGATCCGCGAAGGTGGCACAGATCTATGCCGTGGCAGGGAACCAAGTGGTCCATTATCGGCTACTGCAACAGAGGCTTCAACCGCCTATCTGAGGATGGGGTCCAGGAGTTGCGTGAGCTGGGTTTCAATCTTCCTGGT